TTTTTCGAGGGAAAACTGCATGTATGCTCTTGTAGCACGATGTATAAACTCATTAGCAGACATTCCAAGTGGACTAGATTTGTACTGTGCAATACAGGCAACATTAACAGGTCATTTTTTGTGCTACTATTAATTAAAACTCACAATCAGATAAGAGTCATACACAATTCATAAACAGCATGCCAGAACATGTCAAAATGTTTGTGCCATCTGCCAAGCTCTTTCTTATATGACATATATAGTAAAGCTTAGGCTATGTTTCACAGCTTCAGAAGATTTTACGTAACTTCGTCAATCAAATAAATGGTAATACACATCCACCTGAACACATTCAGGGTCTTCAGGGAAATGATTCTTTTAGACACGTTGAGCATATTTTAGTGTCTTTGGAGATGAAGTCATGAGTGCCTGATAGGTTCGGCAAGGTACTGATGGGGATACCTCCATAATTGTGATCATCCACATTGATGACTACTTCCAAATTCACAACACATTCAGCTTTTCAAAACAATTTGATAAACAAAGCCTAACCTCATGAAAATATGTTCGCTTACTTTAAATAAAAAATGCCCTTCTATAACTACAACTGCAATTGCTAAATTCAACTACACCATAGATTTCTAATTACCCATTTTAAGCACACCAATATGGCGGTGCACACCATCTAGTATGTATATATATATTAAGTGAAAGTGCACAAGCACGCTGTCACATGAATAACTTCAAAACATAATCTAATGAAAACTAACTTACCCACGTAAGTTCCTCCAATGCTTGAACCTTTCTGCTTGTGAAGAAGGCAAACTGCATAAAGGGAAGACACACAAACTATATTACATTCAAGACTATAAATAATTAGGTCAGCACCGCAAGTAATGGCCAGAGGCAGAAGGATGTGCAGAAGGATCTGAGATCCATACATGATAATAATGATGGTCAGGAGTCTCCATCTCCACAGGTATCTCAACCAAGTTTGAATTGAAACATCTAGAGGAATAAGAAATAAATTTATTAAATATTAAAACCCAAATGAAGATTTAACTTCAGAAAACACCAAAAGAAGTAGAAGAAGATAAGCAGAGAGAGATGACAGAGATGTAAACTAAAATGTAAATGCAAAAAATGATAGGATGCAATCTACATGCAAGTGCCACAGAGAGAGAGAGAGAGAGAGCAAAAATACAGTTCAAAGAAAATCTAGAAATCTAGATAGTTACAAGTCATGAAATGGTATGTTTCAACACCAGAAATAAATTGAACTTCCAAAGGCTCAAGGCTTAATTGATAGGGGCATCACATGAAAAAGCCAGATTAGTTAAAGACTCAATCTGTTGCCACCCATAATTATTTTTTTGGACCTCTCTATATCTTACCTTGGACTATCTCTTTTTCTTTTTCCTTTTCCTTTGTTTGAATTTTTCTTTATTGTAAGTACTGAGAGCGATTCCCTTTCTTCCATTGTAAAGTGAAGTTAAAAATTACAAGTCATGAAACATAATCTAAAATACCTTGTATCAATAAAGATCCTGGCAGCGTCTTTATTATACATATACACATCAGTTATGATAATTTCAGAGTAAAACCAAATGTTAATGACTGAGGAACAACCAAGAAGGATCAGAACACATTAATAATTAAGAGGAAGCCACAAGGGCATATGCGCTTCTGTGTTTTGTTGAACTTACCTATGATTAATAAACCTTGCAACATTTCCATAATGCGTTGCATCTAAACAAAGAGCCTCTTCATCCTTTAAGACTCCTTCTGAACCCCAATCAGCATCAAGCAGCACAGGATATACATGCTCCTCACTGCTGGGGCATTTCAAGACTCGCTCAAAGAGCTCTGTATTGGTTAATATTTCCCCAACATATTCACATACAAATGCACCTTTTGGGAGGTCCCCTAGGGTACGAAGACCCCATCCTTTTCCTCCTGGAGTCATAAACACCTGAAACATGGGGATAGGGGGAGCAAAACAGAGCGAACTAGTCATAGAATTGCATGTAAACTAACATGAAGATCTTATTGAAGCAAGTTTATTTACAGAACATGTAGACATTGCTGAGCCTCACTCTTTAAGAGACCCTTTTCTAAAGAACATAAAAAAACTGAAATCTTGGATTTTTTTGCTTCAAGAGCTTGCCTTGGGAGAGTCACATAGTGTGCATTTATAGCCTGTTTGATTATTTTAGAAATTTGATTTATGCTTTATTGACTAATTTCATATCAAGGTTCAAGTGTTAAAAATTGGTAAGGTTTACTGCTCTTTTTCAAAATTCATAGTTCCCAAAAAACTCCAATTTAAAATAATAATAATAATAATAATAATTAATAAATACATAAACCTGAGATTTTTGGCTCATATTCTCACCTGCAAATTGCAACTTATACCATGCTGTACCACCTGATTACCACATTGCTTACTGCAGCCACATTTCCACCAACACTCTTTTATGAACCTCCTCACTAAGTGACCTTTGCATGGTTCTATAATATCATCATTTTTTAATCTTTCCAGTGGGCACTCCTTACAATAAAAGTGGCAGTGCTTTTGAGGATTGCGATTCATCGAAATAAACTCTTCTAAAAATTCGTCTTTAACCAGGCCTTCTAAGGTGTATGCAAAATCACCACCAGTTTCATTTGCACAAGCACAAGGTGTTGACAATGATAAACAATCGCCAAGACAAATCGAACAACAATTCTCCCCAATCCGAGCCAGAGAGAAATTGACATAAGCATTTTGAAAAACTGCATTTTTGGGTATCTAGTGAAAGGATGGTGGACACTCATTGTTGACTTCATTTACCAATGAAATCACAACTCTTTCTTGTCCTTTGGCTATGTCATTAGCATCATGAAGAGACTTTATATCATCAGGCTGCTGAGCCAACAGACTATGAGGATTTGCATGCTCAAGACTATTCTGTTCCTTTTCCTCATCAATTTCACCAATGTTCTCAATAGTATTCTTATCAGTTTGTGTGCAGTCATCTATCCCATTGGACGATGATGGAAGTCTTGGAATTTGAGACTGTGCTACTTCAACAGCACATGGGGTAATGACTGATCCATTAGAAGCACCAAATGGCTTTACTCTAGCACCCAAAGCATCCAGTGCATCAGATTGTTTCAATAAATCAATAGTTGGCATAATTGTTTCCTGTGATTTATTGGCAGAGTCAATTCCCAGTTCCTGAAAATACTCAAGCATATCTTTCATTAGTTTAATCACATAAAAACTTGGGTCTAGGACTTCATATGAACTAAGACTAAGACATTTATCGTCCACCATTTTGAAATCAGATTTTTCCAAGAGTAGAATTACAGGTCAAAGAAATTTTCACCTCTCCATAGCGTGAGGAAGCAATATCTAAGTTAGTAGAAGACCCATCCACATTGTTTGCAAGCTTGCAATCAGTTCCCCTTTCATTTGATGAAGCTAGAACACCATCATTTCTAGCTTCCCCATCTACAGATTGGGATACAATCAGTATGTTTGGTTTGAGTTTGGGAGATGAGTTTTAGAGATAAAAAGTACGAAAAGTTGTTTGGTTTGGTTTTTTTCAAAAGATGTTTTGAAAAATTATTTTGAGAGAGAGTTTTGGAAAAAGTGATTGATTTGATGTGTATGAGAGAGAGATTTGTTTGGAAAACTTGTAAACCAAACAAGTTTTGGGAAATTTTTTTGAAAAAATTTGTTTGGTTTGATTACTTTTGAAAACTTATTTGTAGAGAATTTTTCTCAAAAATTTTTGGGAAATACAAACCAAACAAGACCAATATGTTCAGGACCATCAGATGCTCCGATTGAGCCATTTGCACTTGAAGAATTTTTTTTGCTTAATGGCTCTGTAAAATTGGAAGAAACAAAGCTGACCATCATTAGTTGAAAGATACTAGTTGTCTGTGTATGTTAATCACCGAGAGAGAGAGAGAGAAGGAAAATTTACTGATCATATAAATTGTTATATCCAATAACTGAACAACATTGATATAACTGACCTTCAATGATATGAACACACTAACAACATTATCAATAAATTCATTGACATATCACTATCAAACAATATAAATTTTAATAAATTATCTATGTTAGCAGCGTATCAAAATTTGTTGGGGCAAGGTTCTGTTGGGATAGATATGTCTTCAAAAATGAAAGATTTCACACAAATATTTGATAACTTCAAGTAAGACTCATTCCTACTATTTTAAAATAATCAACCACAGAAGTCACTAAATAGAAAGCTTTTATAGATCGCATAAACCAACAACGGCCAACAACTTTTATGTGACAAAGCCCAGAGACAAGTCCACTGAATAAGCTTGAAAGGGTACAGACCAGCTATGCAGAGATACTGTGAAAGTTATCATTTTGCTATAAGATGCCAGTCATCAATAAGCACTTAAAATTATCACAGGTCAACCACAGGAAATAAGATGTACCTCCATGAATCACTGCACTAGGAACCTCTGACTGCAGTATGTCATCAGTAAATGGCTCATCTTTAGGCTTGATCAAAGCACGAGAATCATGTGCGTGCGGCTTGGGTGAAAGGACAATGCCAGTGTCAACCGTTGGTTCTTTCAAGCGCACTGCATGAGGCGACCCCACAGAAATTCTTGGTGCAATTTGAGGTAAGAGAGGTTCCTTTCCTTTTCCCGTGAGACGTACTGGAGGAGAAACCAAATCAGATTCAGTTCTCCTTGCAGCAAATGGCTCAGTTCTGTCAGCAGCACCTGGCTGAGATGGCTCAAAACTATCCTGTATTGACACAGGCTTAGGCAAGACAGGTTGCTTTCTTTTGTTTCTAACAAGTGGCTGTGGTGACTCTGTCATATCCTGTGACCGTTGTTCGGGACAAGTCTCAGGCAGATCAGCCTCCACTTTGGGTGGCCCTCTTGATGAAGTTTCACCCAATCCAAAAGAAGGTGAAACATGATCATTCTGGTTCCTTAAGCGCAACCTTTTTAGGGGACGTTCGGGCTCCTCATGCCCAAATATTCCAATGCACCTACATTTCCCTAGATTTTGTGAGAAAGGTAATAATGGGAGAAAACTACGTAAGATGCATATTGAGACAAAAAACACAAAAAAAAAACAAAAAAAACAAAACAAAAACAGATTTCCTATGACAGAAACATAAAAAAAAAATGCATCACATAATTTCATCAAAATAAAAATGCATTACGAACCATGCAAAAAATATCATACTTAATCCAAATATGAAAAATAGATGAGAAAATTTTAATTGCAGTAATGACTTTGTCAAGGTACTGCACGTCTTGAAGGAAGGAGAAAGAAAATAATGTAAATATTTCTGTCAATTGCCATTAGAAGTTGAAGATAAATTACATTGACCTCTCTTGACGTTTATGGTAATTCTAGAAACCTCACCTACCATTTTTTAAATGACACTGACCTCCCATCTAGTTCAATTTTCTATTCATGATTCTCCCTTTCGCAAGTTGATTGTAAATGAATTGCCTAGGTTGCCCTTATTTTATATATACAGACATGAACACGATTGAAATCCATGCATAATAGCCAAAAATACCCTCATTTTTAGTGTTAAAAACAAAAATGCCCTCATTTTTCTGTATTGAAGAAAAAATACCCCATCGCCATCTTCACTAAGTCCACTCCCTGGCAGCCCTCTCTCTGAACTACCCATTTTTAGCACTTCCACTTTGGCATGTATAGACCTTTACAAATCATCTAAACAACCACAATGCAAGTTACAACATTTGTGTTAACCAAACAAAATTTAGTCCCCTTTTCTTTAATAAAAACATGGATGAACAATATAATTACCAATTATTAATTACAAGAAAGGGACATGCTACTTATTATCACACTGTTTAGAACTAAAATATTGTGAATAGAACCCCACCCAACATCCCCCATGCATGAAATTTACTCCCAACCTTAAGCTCCAATAAATAAGCTATAAAACTTTTTTAAAAAATATATATATATATACTGGAGTTGCCAATGAACCACCAAGAGAAGCACTCAGAGAATAATTCAAGCCATCAAAACCTGACAAAACAAGAAAACCATGATGCGGAAAGGCTTCAAATATCCAGATAAAACGATTACTGCTAGCTACAGATTTTCCAATTATTACAAAACTTAAAAACCAGTCTCTATGTAGCGAGACTAACAATAAACTGGGATTATTAAAGTTACCAACTAAATTTTTCTCAAAGTGATAACACAATTGACTGTTTTGACTGTTTCTTTCTTTTCTTCTCTCTTTTTTTTTTAAAAAAAAATAAAATTTATTGTTTGGTTATTTTTTTCCCCTAATGTACAAACCAATAAGTTTCAATTACAGAGCAGAAATCATGATCGCTATATGATGGCCGCAAGACTGGCTCAATAATTTATTAGTAACCCAAAATAAAGAAATCTTTAGGTTCCATGATAAATAGAGCTTAAATAAACACAATGCTTCACTAAAATTTATAAATTAAAAAAAAATAATCTTATTTTTCTTAAGGCTAATCTTATTTACCATGCAAAGAGAAAACAAAACTGTAAATATGAGGAACATTTAAGTTTCCCCCAAATATAGCTAAACAAGAGCAATGTATTTGGCGATTCAAAGCCCAAACAACCCTAGAAGAAAGAAATAACCAAATGGTAGTGATTGAAATACATTTTGCAGTTTAAAACCCATAAATTATTTTAAAAATAACACAAACTGATTTCTTTTTTCATTCAAAATAATAATCGGGATAACAAAAAGGAAGGAGAAAATCTGAAAATTGAAGAAATGTAGAGACTGAGACGCAATCGAAGAAGAAACTTACCAGCTTTTTTCGGAGCGATTTGAAACGAAGTGAAGTGAGAGTGCGCGAGACTGAGAGCGATAGGGCAGAGAGAGAGAGAGAGAGAGAGGAGGAGGAGAAGAAGAAATGGGGACACATTTTAGAGAGAGAGAGAGAGAGGTGGGGCCCGGAACTCTCTTTGGACGCGTCATCAATCTGCGTAAGGATCCTCTAGAATAATGTCTCTACAGTGATCTCTTACAGACAAGCAGTCGACAAGCGTCCCACTCATCAGACCAAGGGCTGAGATTCAACTCAGTAAATTTTGAAAAAAAATACAAAACAAAAACAGAGTGAGAAAGAGACAAGAAAAGAGAGAGAAGAAGGATCCCCAATCTGCCATGGCTGGGTTTTCAAATCTATGTTTTATATCATCTCTATGTTTTATATATTTGTTATTTTTTAAGAAAAAGTTAAACAAAGAGATGGACAAGGCTTGAACCCATGACCATGGGTTTAAATACGAGGACTCATACCACTTAAGCTAAGTACACATTATAATATTAATTTCATTATTATTTTTTTTAATTCCTACTTATTTAAATTGCACACACATCGTGTGTGCCACCCACTAGTATATATATATCTAGAAGGAAAAGAAAAGAAGAGGAAAAGAGAGGAAGGAGAGGTGCGGCGGGGGAGCCGTGTGGCAACGGCGGTAGCGCATCTGGGGTGGGAAGGGACGGGGCGGCGATGCCCTCCTTCTCTTCTCTCCTTCTCTCAGTGGGTTTGTGTAGTTGTTTAAGGAGTTTTACACGATTGGAGCTTCAAAATCAAACCCATTCCATTGATAACAACATTGTGTTTGTGTTTTTGAATGCTGTTGAATAAACCAGAATCATCAATAAACAAACTCAACAGATCTCTCTCTCTCTCTCATCAAATTGCACACTTTATTGAAAATTATGTTAGGTGGATGTTTTGAATTAAAGCCTCTAATGCGGCTCTGTTTCTGAAGCAGCAAAACCCTTTTTGAATTGAAAGAGAGGCGCAGACAGGTCTCTCTCTCTCTCTAATGTTTTGAATTGAAACAGAGCTTCTAATCCTTCATATTTGCAGGATCTTGGATGTTTTAAATTAAAGCTGTTTCTTCTTTTCTTCTTCTTCCTCCTTCTTCTTCTTCTTTTTTTTTTTTTTTTTTTTTTTTTTTTTTTTTTCAAATTACTCACCAAAACGACGTCGTTTTGGTGTCGTTTTGGTGAGATTTAATTTCCACCATTGGATGAATCACTCTAGAGATCACTTGAGGGTTTTCACTCTAGAGGATCCGGACGCGAATAGTTATAGGTGAGAAAAATATAATTAATGCTTCAAATGGTATAAATAAAATAGTTACATAGGAAAATTAAATTAAACAAAATAAAAATAGGTTTCTAAAATCAATACATTGAAAATTTATTTTAAAAAAGCATTTCAATAATTGTGCTAATTCATTTATCATATTAATATTTTTAGAATCAAAACTACTCAAAAACACATTTAAATCTAACCCATTTTAAAAAATCATTACATGAAAAAGGGTTTCTAAAATTTCAACCATTTCTAAAATGGGTTTCTAAAATCTCAACCATTTCTAAAATCTAAACCATATATATATATGCATCTGTTAGGGAAAATCCGTGATTCCCCACAAGTAAATCAATCAATGGGAATAAAAAGTAATGCGGAAAAATTAAATCAAAAGCAACACAAGAATTTTTACGTGGTTCCCTCAATGTGAGGTACATCCACGGGATCGAAATCCGATTCCACTATTAACCAAATAAGTTCCAAACAATTACAAACGAGACACTAATAGTCTCACAAAACCACCCTTAGGTGAATTCCAAATAATCACAAATAAACAAAGAGGAAAGACCTCACCAAATAGATGAACCAAAATCTTCTGAACCAGAGTTGTAGAAGACCCAAAACAACGAACCAAATTAGTTTCAAAGCAGCCACAAACCGAACCAACAATAGCTTCACCGAATAAATTTGATCCAAACAGCACTTACACAAGAAGAACAAAACCCACCAAATTTTATTATGTCCCAAGCACTATCTCACCAACTATTGATCAAAAGATGGCTACTGACGGCTGCACCTTTTTTTTTTTCAATCTATCTCACACTTGCGGCACACCCAAAACAATATATATATATATATATTGTTAATTTTAGGGTTTGTTTTATCAAAACCCTAGTTGTAACTAAATTGGATTGGGCCTCCACAAATTAGATATAATATATAAAAATATATTATACCTAAACCAAACCTAATTAAGATTCTTTTAACAAACCAATTTGGTCACACACTCCAATAAGAAGGTATACCCAACACTTCCCAAACAAAGCCTTAATGCTACAATGATCATAATTATCAACTGTATAAATGCCTTGTAAAACAATGGGCCTTTTTTTAAGAAAATTGTTGGGTCCTTAGCAGTCCTGCGCTTCTAACTTCTAAGCAACACTCAGATAATTGATTACTGGGCCAAGTTTCTAGTTTGACTCATAGTTAAGGGTTTTTTTTTTTTTTTTTCTCAAAAGGAATATATATTGGCTTCGTTTGAGAAGTGAGTTAGTTTTTTTAATTTTTAACTTTTTAACTATTTTAACTTGGGGCTAAAAAGTCTTATTGGAGTTGAATTTTTTGACTTTTTTAACTTTTGTAAGAGAAAAAAAGAAATGATTATGATTTGCATGTAACATTTTGTCTACTTGACTTTTTAATTTATTTTGTATTTTTATAACTATTTTAATCAAAGTCGATATCAGTATACAAAAACTCCTCCATCTCTATGTTTTTGTTTTTATCACAACTAGAGAGAGAGAGAGAGAGAGGTTTTGTTGGGCTAGGGTTTTTTAGGGAACTGACGAGAGAAAGGGAGAGTGGTGTTCCTGAATCCCTAATTTTGAATGAAAAGTTTACAACCCTCATTTCGAAATTTAAAATCCGAAATCTAAATCCCTAATTTCGAAATTTAAAATCCCAAATCTAAAATGAAAACCCTTATTTATGCGATACAAACCTGAGTGAGGGAGAGTGGTGTTCCTCGTTTTGCCGGTGGTGTACTGTTTTGCCGGTGGTGTTCCTCTTCGTCGTCGGCTGAGTGAGGGGGAAGAAGATTGGCTGAGTGAGGGAGAAGAAGATGGGTTGGATATCAAATACGGCTTTCGTAAGTTGAAAGGGAGAAGGGGGCTGTTTTGTTTGTAATGAAAAGTGTTTTTAATTAAAAAAATATTTGGTCAAAAAACGGCTTTTGTAAAACAGTTTTAAATTAAATTTTTTTTTTCAAAAACCGGCTTTTCTAAAACCGTTTTTTATTAAAAATATTTTTGGTAAAAAATAGTTATGTTGAAAATATAAATTAAAAAAAAATTATTGTAAAAACGGTTTTACCAAAACCGTTTTTAATTAATTTAGAATTAATTAAAAATTAGGTAAAAACGGCTTTTGTAAAGCCGTTTTTCTGGGTCCAAAATTTATTATTATTTTAATCAGAAAATACGGTTTTTCAAAAACCGTTTTCTGGAAAACGGCATTACAAAAACCGTCCCTATAATGGGAATAAAGTTAAAAACACACCCTAAAGTGGGACTAAAATATTCAAAATGCCCCAATAATGGAAATTGGCCGAGGAGAAGAAGAAGAAAGGGGGACACATTTTGGAGAGAGAGAGAGAGGTGGGGCCCGGAACTCTCTTTGGACGCGTCATCAATCTAGTCTAAGGGAGGGAGATTTTTGAATCTTGATAAGACTTTTGTCTATTTGTCAAAATATATATTATTAAATTGATTCAATTCAATGGTTAAAAATGTTCCTCTCCTTTGGACATTTTAATGGTTGAGATCAATTTAGGTAAATATCAATGCTTGAGATTAGTTTGGGTAAATATCAATGCTTGGGTGAAAATGTCTCTCTCTCTCTCTATCTCTCTCATTTTTTCTCATTCTCAGACATCTTCACTGTTTCTCTCTCTAATTTTGATTTCAAAATTTGAAACTCTATTCTCTCTCTCTACAAGTTTGATCTCCTATGGTGCCAACACATCACATACCCATACCCAACAACACCACAACTCACCACTTTCTTTCTCTCTCTCTCTTTCTCTCTTCACAAAACCCATTTTATGGGTCTCTTTCAATCCTATTTAAATTCTTTCATTTCTTGATTCTTTTTATTTTTTGGGGGAGTTTTGCCATCTTAGTTTTTGAAGTTTATTGTAAAGTTTGTGAAGCGGTGGAGGATCTTCCCATTTTTTTTTTTTTGCAATCGATTTCTGGTTCCAGAACTTTCGGCGATTTTTGATTTTTGGGTTTTGGGTTAGTCATGGTTTGTTTGGCTGCTGAGAAAGTGAGGAAAAACAAAGGACTAGATGATTTTGACTTTCCAACTTTTTCCTTATTTGGTTCCCTCAAAAACCCAGAAAGAAAGATGAAAAAGAAAACTAACCCATTTTATTTTATATTTTTTGGAAAGCCTTCCGTGATTGTGTTGGTTGAACCCTAACTTTCAATTGAAATACTATTCACTTACATTCTAAGACACATGTACATTGATATATATCATATATATACATACTTACATACACATCTGTAAACCATGTCTTTCCAATTTATGTTTTCATGTAAAAGCTTAGAATTTGTTATTATATATGGAGAATGAGAACTCTTTTACATCTCAAAGAAATCCATCAAGAAATGCAACAACATATACCCCTTTCAAAATTTCTGCATTGTGTTGTTTGCTTACTCAGATTACAAAATTCCCCCGAGTTTAATTTTCGATGTTGGGAATAGTTGCAACCAATGTTTCAATTTCGGTTGATTTGTGCTTTTGGGTCTGTCATGCGTCGTTTGGTTGCTGAGAAAATGCAAGTCTAGATGATTTTGACTTTTTAACCTTTCCAAAACTATGCATTGTGTTGTTTGCATACCCTGATTACAAAATGCCTTCAAGTTGACTTTTCAACCTTTCCAAAACTATGCATTGTGTTGTTTGCATACCCTGATTACAAAATGCCTTCAAGTTGACTTTTCAACCTTTCCAAAACTATGCATTGTGTTGTTTGCATACCCTGATTACAAAATGCCTTCAAGTTGACTTTTCAACCTTTCCAAAACTATGCATTGTGTTGTTTGCATACCCTGATTACAAAATGCCTTCAAGTTGTATTCATATTTTTAAGTTAGTCCCTAATTTTTATACTACATTGATTATGGTGAAAAAGTTCATTGTCAAATTCAAAGCTCTGTACCAATCCAAAAATAAAAATAAAAATTCAAAGTTGTGTGTATTGTATTGACTTGGACAGTGTTTGAAGTATGTCTTAATAAGGGA